CTCTGGTACTGGGATCCCATGACAAGAGGAGATTATAAACTCTTTCTTTTTTTTTTTCGTAGTGTTATAACGTAATCAGGTAAGAGTAGCAGTGACTGAGGGTCTTTGTTTAAACACGTTAGTTGTCTTGCTGACACGACTTTAGTAATTTTTAAGTGAAGGAAAACATTGATCTGAGTGTGATAAGAACATTTTAAGAGACGAATAATTCAGGAGAAACACGATGACGTCTTTGACATTTAATATTTCCAACTCTAAGTAATATTCTTGTTATCCATATGCGTGTTGAAGGACCAGATGCTGTCGAATCCACAACAGCTGTGTTGTCCCTAATTGACTCTGACATATTCGGTTGTGTGCTGCCTCAAGGGAACACCTGTGTCACAAAAACCTAATCATGATATTAGTCAAAAGCGCCTCAGTTTTGCATTGAATTCGCAGCGACATAAAACTTCTTCTTTTATAATAAAACAAATTGCGTTTGTATTATTATATTCATCAATCACGCGAACTCGTTTCACTGAGCTGCAGCATTATTATACTAACACGATGTTAATACACGACATCAACTTAGGACTTTTGTTACCACAGCAACTAAATAGCTCATCCTTTTGGATTTCTCTACATATGAATCTTAACGATTTACAAATCAAAGTCTGTTCTTTTCAATCGTTGCAACATTATGCGTCTAACGAAAACCAAGTTTAAGGATTAAGGTTAGAAATCAAAAAGAAATAAATTAACTTTCTAGTTCAAAAGAAAGAAAAAATGTAAAAAAAAAAGGTGCCACACGTCTTGTTCGAAATATATATTGTTTCTGAAAAACGATATACAAATATCTGATTTCGTGGAGTTCAGAAGATTCGCCAACGTGTGAAAATCCTCCAGAGAAGAAAAAATAAATAGTAGAGAATTGCAAACAATTATCCCTGTTATCAGAATGAAACAGTCAGAAATTCTACTACATCTCGACTGAAGCTATTTCCCGTCTTGCTGGATTTCAAAGCTTCTACGCAGCTTTGTGTGTGATAAACTATTTTCCACGCAATAACCACTTCGCATAGACGAAACGTCTTAAAGCTTTTTGCTGTTCTGTGACTATTTCCGTGGCAAACATTTTGATGAGATACATTCCGTAGTTACAACACTTCAAACCTACAAAGTTTAGACTCACTATGCGAATTCCACGGAGACGAACTCTCTTTATTATTTTCGTATCCAAATTGTAAGAAGAAATTTCCACTGGCAAAGATTCTTGCCAAGAGCTATTACACTGTTAGTCAGACTCCGGAGATGATGCTTTCACGATTGCTATAATCTTAAAACATCTTTGAGTCTAGGGTTAACTGTAATCTTTTCGACATATCCTCATAAACTTTATTTCTTACCTCTTCGTCTTCTTACAGCCTCTGTATTTAGCAGTGCCAGCAGACAGCCGTACTTTAGTATCATATTGCAATAAGGTTGTACACCCGATTCGGGAAATTGGCTGGAGCCATCACACAAATGGAATGATAAAGAAATAAAGATAACGGTTTTCTCTGTCAATACTTGTTACATAACCAACATGCGTGTCTGAAACTTCTAGAAATCAGCGAGCAAAAAAAATGTTTTCTCTCTCTCACAATAAATTCCTGGCTCTTTTTCGCAGACAAGTATTTAGTAACATTACCTTAGTACAATAAAAGAGGTCGATTTAGAATATATACGTTGTCCTGTATAAAACAATAAGAAGAAACCTTTCTTCCGCTTAAAATCATTTGATTTACTGTTTGGCAAATGGCAGCGATACGCCAAGTTTATAATACATGTCCCAAGAAAGCAGTGGAAACGAACATGACGACGAGACTGACTCAGTCCACTTCCGAACAACGATAACGATCCTGAAACAAAACAACCCTTTTGCGCTACTACGAGGATCACTAGTTTATATACTAAAATATTCATTGTTTAGATTAATTTACAGGAATTCTGTGATATTTAATAAGAATCCATTGCGAAATTATTTCAACATGTCCATCATAAAATGGCTACACCACATGAATGTTTGATTTTTGGGTACGGTGTTCGGAAGAGATAGCATTTTTCCAAGGATTTGAATGTTTAATTCACGACGCCTTTTCTTTTATACCAGATTAATGTCTTAATAAATATTCAATCAATTATTTCGACAAAATCCTATAACATTCAGTGTCACCAATGAATGCGTTGACATTCATTGCGTATGTAATTATGGCGACCAACACACAACTAAATGCCGCTCCGAATTTATTATGTGCACACAAACATAGCGGCCCAAGCTAAATAAATACCAGAAGAGTTAGTCATCAAAGAGATAAACAGGAATGTAGGAATACTGAATATGCGTATCTCCCTTTATTAGAGAAAAGTAACATGGGTCATGTGGCGGGCCTTTTACTAACGTCACTCCATACAATGACGATAGCAGCAGTCAAACTTCTGTTTTTTTTTTACAGCAGCCACCACATAAGTTTTTTGTTTCTTTTTCCTTTATCTGCCTCTCCCATGAGCTAACAAATCGATAGTGTCGTTTTCGTTTGGGAATAAATCTTTCCCAGATACATAATGAAAATCCAGCTGGCAGTCTGCAATTTGGGAAACTCACTGTTTTCTGTCCATTAAATATGTCCTCGATTGGGACATAGATGGATCCGTTCCGTTTGACTCTGGAGTTCTAAATATGGCTTCTCCAGATATTCGAGTATCTCCATATTATATGTAAAACCCTTCATTTTTTTTCTTTTTCCTTACAATCTGTTTTGCCGTTTACATATATGTGATATATTTTTCTCTACGTGGGAGACGTGTTTATATGTACATATGTTTTTTTTTGTATGTCTTAGTAGTATAAATGTCTCTCTGAGAACAAAGCCTGTTGTCATTTTTTTTTTCTTTCAGCCATTCCTTTCTGTCCGTGAACTATGGTGTTATTATATCACGAATATAATAAAGTCCATATCAAAACGTTACGTGATCGGCTCGCGTCGTGATCTGTAACGAGGGAGTTAGGAAAGAAAGATTTGTTCTCACATTTGTATTTCCTCCGTTATGCGCATTGTTAGTTAATTAATGAGTCGTTGCTTTCATCTCGTTTATATGCTAACTAGCAGTAGAGCCCGGCGTTGCCCGGGGATGTAGCAGTAAGAGATAAATCAAGTATCGACCATCATAAAGACTGAAAAATAAAATTGACAAAGATTATTGTTTAAGGTTGACGGACACGCATGTCTTAATTACTTTTTTTTTTTTTTTTTTACCAATTGGTCAAACCTAAACTAAAAGAAAAACATTGTTTTCAATCGTTATGAGTCTACCGATTGAATAGAATTTTATTATAAACAATTGTCTTGTAAATGGAATTTTTAAAGCATTCTGAATGTAAAAATAAAGAAAAAAGTGTGCTAGTCTTTTTCCAATTTTTGGCGCTGTCAGAACCACCGCAAGGTAATTTTACGTAGTCCTGTGAAGTTTTGTTGAAATCGGTTGAAAAATGTAGGAAATCCAATCCAATATATAAACGTACACACACACACACACACACACACACACACACACACAGAATCTGCGTTTTATAATAAGTAAGATATTATATGGCTGGGTGGTTTCCCATCAAAGCGCGTATATTCATTCACGTTGACGTCGACTCGTTAAACGAATATGACAATTGCTGACAAGTTTTCCAACTACCCGGTTTTGAAATTTCAGTTTTCCTTTCTCCTAGACAGGCGTCCAGACAAGGCAGGAGAGCCCAATTTAGCTAATAGTTGGAGGAAGAAGAGATGGAATCATACCCTTTGATACGCTATTTGCGCAGAGGTGAATCTAACGAACGATGCGAAATTCGAACTCGTATCACTGTATTCTAATTCCGAACAAAAAAAAACAAAACTATTACATCACCCGTCCATCCATAATATATGTTAAGATGTCAGCAATTCTCGTGTTGAAATTATAGTCGTTTCTGGCTTGAACAACACAGCAATGACACACACCAACAATGCTAATAATTTCTGGGACAAGTGAATGCGAGATATTTCTTTAATCAAATTCACTTCAAGCAAATGTGGTAAATCTAGAAGTCGATACTGGGATTGGAAGAATTAGACATCAGAAAACATTTTCAAGGAGCTGGAACTATAGAAGAGTAATCTGGAGGACAAGAGATTGAAATTGCTTTTATCCGGATTAGTAAGAGGGTAGGTGTTCCGTCACTTTTCCAAAACACGCAGGGACGTAGAAGTACTGAGGATAGATTGATGTACTCTAAACAATTAATAAGCTGTCTTTGTCCATGTAAGATAACATACAGACATTGCTACATATTACTCAGATGAGAGACACCTCGCCCATCATATACTTGTAATGGTTTATTTTTAGTTTCGGCGTCCTTGGTCTCTGAGATGATTTGAGACCAGCATTCGATTTCATACTGTTGTGAGGGAGAATATTTGGACTCGGACAAAAGACATAAAAATAATCCGACATCAAGAGGAGTAGCAAGAGGAGCAGTAGCTTTTTTTTCGAACAGTTAGTCATTCATGGCGAAACATTCTCTTCCTTACGTTTCCCTGTAGGAAAAGGTTATAAACTTGTTAAACTAATTCCGATTTTCTACTGTTGTTTTTGATAACTCACTACCTACCTACATACATACATACATACATACATACAATCTTTCATGCATGAAGACTGTCTTTCGATTTCTACATGTAAGTAGACATATGTAGGGATAGACAGTTTACTGTATAAATACCACAATTAGAAAAAAAATTTTCCTTGTCTCAAATCCTAACCGTACAATTTCACTCATAGCTGGATGAGAATAGAGGAATTCCCTTAAGTATTTGCATCATTGTAATTCATGTAAATGAAATTCTGAATTGAATCTATTTTCTGGCCGTTATCCATTATATATATATATATATATATATATATATATATATATATATATATATATATATATATATATACACACAGACACATATATATATAGAGATAGATAGATAGATAGATAGATAGATAGATAGATAGATAGATAGAATAACAAAACCATAGGTATATAATCCAAGTGGATCCTAGTAATATAAAAATATTAAAACTGATATAAAAAAGCTCATTTTATTTAGTATTAACAAAGTAAACATTTAATAAACAATGAAATCAACAACTCATATATGGGGAATAGGCTGTTTCGGCAGACGTAGATATCGGTCGTCTGACTTATCCACCCTTTATCAATATATATATATATATATATATATATATATATATATATATATATGTGTATGTATATTATATATATATATATATATATATATATATATATATATATATATATATTTATATATATGTAATATATATATATATATATATATATATATATATATATATATATATATATATATATATGTGTGTGTGTGTGCACGTGCGTATGTATAGTTCAAAAATGTGGTCTATTTATTGTGGAAGAGTGTTTAATATCTGAGATTAAGTGTTTAAACTTATAGACAATTTTGTCATAGGAGTGTTGATACCAATGCCCATGCAAAGGACAAGAATTGCGAAAATACTTCAATCTGTTGCAGTTACGAAAATCAGTATTTGAAGAAGGAAATTCCAGAATTCTCACAAGTGCGAGGTGGGGGCGAAACTTTTCTGCACTCATTGAACATATAATTCTCTTGCTCTGCATAGAGTAAATATGTTTTATATACAATTACAGCCAGCAAATTTGAGCTGAATTATGCTTATCTAAATTAGATAATATTGAATAAATCGAACTTTTCATATACCTTCTAATTTCTAAAGGCATATATATATATATATATATATATATATATATATATATATATATATTATATATAAATATATTATATATATCTATAAATATTTCTTCAATAAACAAACAGAAATATTATATTACAGACAGATTCGCTTTACTCCTAGTTTTAAATATATGTTATTAAGAAATCGTGTAAATTAGATTTACATTATTAAAATGTATGGGTTTTTGACAAATTGAATAATGCCAAACACACGTAAATGCATCTTCCTTTGAATAAATTATATCATGCACGAATATATATCCTTTATAAATTAGTATATACACGTATACACATACATACGTATATATACATATGTTTGTATGTTTATGTGTGTGTGTGTGTGCATGTATTGGGAGTGTGTACAAAATTCACAGTATTGAATGCAGACAAGATTATGTTGATAGCTAAACGGATCAAGAAGTCGAGAATCTCTGAGAAGATCAGGAATTCGAACAACGACAGAAATATTGCGTGAGAATCAATCTATTCTGAAGTCAAATTTATAAAAGATTGGACAATGTTGTATTCACTTAGTCGGCTGCTAACTCAGTTGTGTGAGAAATTGAAACAAATGGTTAAAAATGCAGAAAATTGTAAAAGTGAAGGCGAGAAGATTTGAAAATGTGAAGGCGTGAAAATTAAAAAAAATATGTAAAGTTTGAAGATTTGGAAATGTGAAAGCGGAAAATATAAAAATGTGAAGGCGTGAAAATTAAAAAAATATCTAAAGTTTTGAAGATTTGGAAATGTGAAAGCGGAAAATATAAAAATGTGAAGGCGTGAAAATTAAAAAAAATATGTAAAGGTTTGAAGATTTGGAAATGTGAAAGCGGAAAATATAAAAATGTGAAGGCGTGAAAATTAAAAAATATGTAAAGGTTTGAAGATTTGGAAATGTGAAAGCGGAAAATATAAAAATGTGAAGGCGTGAAAATTAAAAAAAATATGTAAAGGTTTAAAGATTTGATAATTTGAAAGTATGAAAATGAAAAAAAATACGCGAAGATTTGATAATATAAAAATGTGAAAACGTGAAAATTAAAAAAAATATGTAAAGGTTTGAAGATTTGGAAATGTGAAAGGGAAAAATTAAACAAAATATGTGAAGGTTTGAAGATTTGAAAATGTGAAAGCGTGAATTTAAAAAAAATATGTAAAGGTTTGCAGATTTGAAAATGTGAAAGCGGAAAATTAAACAAAATATGTGAAGGTTTGAAATTTGAAAATATGGATGCGTGAAAATTAAAAAATATGTGAAGGATTGAAGATTTGAAAATGTGAAAGCGAAAAATTAAAAAAGAAATATGTAATAGTTTGAAGATTAGAAAATGTATATGTAGAAAATTTAAAAATATGTTAAGGTTAGAAGATCTGAAAATTTAAAACCGTGAAAATTTAAAAGAAAAATATGCGATGTTTTGAAGCTTTTAAAAATTGAAAGCGTGAAAATTAAAAAAATGTGAACAAGATTGAAAATTAAAGAAATATTAATAAAGCGTAAGAAATATAGAGACAGCGAAAGAAAGGTTTGAAAATGTGAAAGCGTGAAAATTAAAATATGTAAGAGTGTGAAGATTTGAAAATGCGAAGACGTGAATTGATAAATTAATTATATTCAAACTGTGCAACTCTGTAAGTTGCATGTCGAAACTGAGAGAAAAAAAGGCAGAGGTCGACAGAGATTGAGAATAGAGGAAAGGGAAAGTGAGGAGGAAAGGGAATAATAGAAGTTGATAGTAAGAGAGGGCCAGACATAACAAGCGGGAAAGAGAACGAGAGAGTCTGAAAGTAACAAAGAGAGACAAAAAACGGTTGTTTGAGAATAACGAAGTGTTAGAAAAATAAAAAGGGGAGATATTGAAGGAAAGAGAAAGAGGGAAGAATCTAAAGAACGGAAGATTAAGACTATCAGTGAAAAGAAAGAAAGAAAGAAAGAAAGAAAGAAAGAAAGAAAAAGAAAGAAAGAAAGAAAGAAGAGAGGTTGAGAATAACAGGAAGCGGAGTGAGCGAGAAGTATAGTGAATAGGGACGAGAAGGAGAGAGAACGGGAGAGGCTGAAAGTAAAAAAAGTAAAAAAGAGAGACAAAAAGGCTGTTTGATAATTACAGAGTGTCTGAAAAAGAAAAGGGGAGATATTGAATGAGAGAGAGAGAGAGAGAGAGAGAGAGAGAGAGTGAGAGAGTGATCTAAAGAACGAGAGATTAATAATAACAAAGAAGGAAAAGGAAGAGAGAGAACAAGACAGATTAAAAATAGCAAGAAGAGAGAGACAGTTAAATTAGGAAAGAGAAGAACAGAGGTTGGTTGTAAGAGAGGGCGGGACGTAACGAGCGGGAAAGAGAACGAGAGAAGCGAAGTAAAAAAGATTGTTTGATAATAGCAGAGTGTCTGAATAAGAAAAGGAGAGTTATTGAAGTTAAGAGAGAGAGAGAGATAGAGGGATAGAGAGTGAGAGTGCTCTAAAGAACGATAGATTAAGAATAACAGAGTAAGAAAGAAAGAAATCAAGAGAGAGAGAGAGAGAGAACAAGGTTGAGAATAAAAGAAATATTAATAAAACGTAAGAAAAAATAAAGACAGCGAGTAAGAAAGAAAGAACGAGCGTGTGAATGAATGGGAAACACAGTGTGGAACAAAGCAAAAAAAAAAAAAGGATAGAAAAGAAGGCTCTTGAGATTAACGGAGATAGAAAGAATAAGATTTAAATTACCAAAGTGTGAGAAAGAAAAGAAAATAAGGAATGTGACAGAAAAGATATTCTTTTAAGAGATTCTTTGTTTATAATTGAGTGGGTGTTGATATTTTATTTAAGTAAACATATTTAACATTATGCAAAAACAAGATATCTAGGCTTTACCATGAATAAGGTCCTACTAGCAGGTCCTTTATTCTACACGACAACCATTAGTCTACAATAGTTGCTTATCGTTTGTAAGCGATATTGACTCTAGCATAACGACACCATCTAGTGTAAATATTTCTTATTCCAGTAGCAAGTAAGTTAAATGAAATTATTACACTTACCACCAGACGAATCTAAACATTGATTCGCTTTAAGTGATCGAAAGGGAGCATATCATTGGTTTTTGTATCTTTATAAGCGTAAAAGTCTATATGAAATATTACGAATCCATTTTGATCAAAGTGTTCACTATAGAATCTAGGAATGCAAAAGAACGTAGAGAAATAATTTGGGCAAAAAGGACATTGAAAAATGACCTTTTTTCTTTAAACAAAAAAAAAAAAATTATTAAATGAAAAAAAAATGTACGAAATTCACTTAGTAAAGGATTTCGTTAAGAACTATTTATGATAAAATTTGTAAAGACATGCTTCATTTCCGTACGTATTCTAACCTCTTAATGCGTTTTAATTAACTGTCACGTTTAATTAACTGCCAGCTTAATGAGTATAAAATCGTTAATTAATTTCTTGATTCGAGTTATACATCTTTTTTGCCTGCTCAAGATTAATTTAAAAATTACAATGTGTGACATATTACGATGGAAATTCTTGCAGTTTTCAGGAAAATGTATTACTTTTTCACACTAGAATTTCTTTACCGCTAATTATGGTTAAAAAAAAATAATCGTAAAATTATTTTGTTTAAGTTTATTTTTGTTTTATTCGATGAGTATTTCTATTTTTTTTTTTTTTGGAAAATTTTGTTTGCTGATCTCTTTAAAAACTTGGAATTTGTCAGGAGCGATTAAATTTCGAGTTTCGCAATGTACGAGGCAAATTTTTTATAAAAGCTGACGGAGATAGGAAACAAATTAAAGATTTTAGGTCGAGCAAATTGGTCGTCTCTCTTTTGTAGATCACTTACGAAAGTATTTCGTTTCTAAACCAGCATGCGCGACCAACTATTTTCGGCTATACCAGCGTGACAGCTCTTGTCACATCAGGCGTCTATTTGATACTGTTTTTAATAAACGTAAGAGCGTCCACGAAGGCGGTAACCCCCTGTTTGTCGAAAGAATAAGGCAGCGCATAATCTCTAACAAATTTTGCTCTCATAATTACTCGCGGTTCTGTAATAGGGTAGTAAATAAGTGTAAGTGCTCTATTCCTCTCCTCTTCCTGTCCTGGGTATGACGATAAACTACATACGCGTCCTGGGTAAGACGATAAACTACATCCGCATCCTGGATAAGACGATAAACTACATCCGCTTCCTGGGTAAGACGATAAACTACGTCCAATAGCAAGGCTTCTGTTCAGGAGGTTTTGAGGAGCGTGGAACAAACTCTTAATTGCTGATGTTTCCATGTCCACCCTGACCCGGGGTGGTAGCACCTGTTAGGGTCCCAGCTATGGGCAAATAGTTAATCCCGAAAATGAGACTACATCTGTGTCCTGGGTATGACGATAAACTACATCCGCGTCCTGGGTATGACGATAAACTACGTCCGCGTCCTGGGTAAGACGAGAAACTATGTCCGGCAGCAAGGCCTCTGATCAGGAGGTTTTGAGGACCGTGGAACCACCTTTTAATTGCTGAATCGGAGTGGTAGCACCTTTTAGGGTCCCAGCTATGGGCAAATAGTTGACGATATTCAGTCACCCCCCACCCCACGAGGGTGTCATGTGACACAAGGCCTTTTTAACGTGGGCATTCCGAGCCCGTGGGGTCGGCAAAAATATGCCCATTGAACCCGTATAAACGGGTTCAGGGCCGGTCTACCGCCCCAAAGGAGACTCTGTCCTTCGGCGTAGCCGCCTTCGGGTTCCTCCCGTCCGTAGGAAGAGAGTTTAACCGAACAGTCAGTTCAGACTTGAGCGACTGACTCAAGACTGACTATGGGCAAATAGTTGACCCTCACAACTGACTCAAAACACTATGAAAGTAAAATAGTTAACCCCGAAACTGAGGTAAAAAAACATTATAAAAGTGTAAAAATAGGTTTTAATACCAGAAATACTTTGTAAAAAAAATTATTACCAAAAAATAATATTACCAGCCATAGATTTTCGAGGAAAAATATTAACCGAAATAGATTTTTGACCATACAAAAATACTACCTGGAAAAAAAAGTTGTCGGCATTAAATGACTCTTGAGGTTGATATGGCGTAAAATAAAACAAACCAAATCAATACTCTCCTCTTCAATCAATTTGAGGTGTTATTATCCTCTGCTGATAAAGCTGAATGCTTTGCCCGTAAATTCTCCTTAAACTCTACACTTGACTCATCTGGAGTGTCCCTGCCTAACTTCCCACCTAGAACTGATTCTCTGCATGTAGAACTGATTCTTTTGAGTGATATGCATATAATCTCATTTGTGGTCTCTCCTAGTATCTGTAGCCCAGGTCAGCACACGACACGTGAACCCGATGTTAACCCTGTAATAGTCATTAAGAAATGTGCTCCCGAACTGGCCCCTGTTGTCTCTAAATTGTATACTAAATATCTCGCTGCCTTCTGCTTTTCCAACTGTTGGATGCCATCATCTGTTGTTCCAGATTTTAAGAAGTCTGGTGAATGGTCCGACCCTTCCAACTATCGCTCTATTAACCTTTTGTTTTTCTCAAAGGCTTCTAGAGGCACTAAACAATGCTGAATTGGATTATCATCTCTCATCGCATGACCTTTTCCTCAGACGCACAACATGGCTTTCGTTTCTCAAGATCAACTACTGATGTAGTGACAATAATTGGAGAAAGAGTCCATCATGCTCTAGATTAAAAAGGTGAAGCCCGGCTTGTATTATTAGACAACTCGAAAGACTTTGACAGGTTTTGGCATACCGGTCTTCTCCACAAGTTAAAAAGTTACAGTGTCTCTAGACACATTTTTGAACTGATATAATCTTTCCTATTAATTCATGAAATGAAATTTATCCTCAACAAGCCACTCGTCTACATCCTTTCGAACTAAGGCGGGTGTCTCTCAGAGCTTCATCATTAGTCCTGCTCTGTTTTTAATTGTCATTAATTAACTTCCCGATGACATCAGGTCTAAACTTGGTATTACAACGATGATGACACAACCATTTACTCCTGCGTCCATAGTAAGTCTGATCAGTCCGACAAGTTCAAAATGGCAGCCGATGTCCAAAACGACATCCAGTCCATCGTTAACTGGGGCAAAATATGGCTTATCAATTTCAACGGCACGAAAACTCAACTTCTCTCCATTAATAATTCTAGAGATCCCTAGCTACCTTCCATCAGAATGACTTATGCTAACCTCCAGGAATGACTCGTTTTCTGGGGCTAACGTTCTCAGCTGACATGAAATGGAAAGACTATACTGAATCCATTGCTAGGTCAGCCGTTAAGAAGGTTGTTTCACTGTGTCTTGCGAGAGAATTTATCTTACATATCTATAAGTCTACCATTCGTCCATGCTTAGAATATTACTGTCACGTATGCCCCGGTATTCCGGCTATTTCCATTCATAAGATCCAAAGAAAAAAAAACAATATTATTGGTCCTGATCTGGCGGATTGGCTTCACTCAATTTCCCATCGCGGTAAGTTTGCCTCTGTAACTTTTCTATAAATACTTCGCTATGGTACCAAGATTATTTTTTTTTAAATTTATGCTTGTAAACTTTAATGCCTCCAAAACGAAACTGCTCTCATTTTTCCCACCACAGAGAAGCCTTCCTGCCTCCCATCAAAATCGCTGATTCCCAACTCCTATATATATATATATATATATATATATATATATATATATATATATATATATATATATATATATATATATAGCCTTGGGGCGGGTAGAATGGAGATCAATGTGTTTTAGTGACCTCAGAAGTTTTCAATCAGCTTGTCTGAATCGCCTCCAAGAAGCGAGAGAAAGATCTAAAAGGTCAGCCAATCTAACAGTTATCTCATCCCACAATCTTACTCTTGCTCCATATGCAGCATCCTTTGTAAATAACTAGCGGGTCTTAAGTGCCACTTAAGATTATCGCATAAAATCTCATAACTGAATCAATTAAGCTGTCAGATCCTCATACGTATAAACCGACGGGAGAGTCCATTATATATATATATATATATATATATATATATATATATATATATATTAGAAGCTTATAGAGTAATGGCTGGCCACTCATATCGGCGTATGCCTGTCCACTAGTTTGGCGACACAATCCCCGTTGAATACCCATTTTTGTTTGTTTAACATCTATAGCTTCTGAGAGCGAGCTTATTATCTGGCGTGATCAACAGTCTGAACAGTTTGAAAAATACGCTCACACCCTCGGCTACGATGACTTGTGACTTTGTGCAAGCTCAACCATCTACGGCTAAAAAATAGTTTCGTCTACTTCCTTCACAAGCCTTGGATCAACCGTTTGCATTCCAGGTCCTTTCCAAAATCCCGGACACCGTAGATCTCCTGTTCAGGTTGATAACAACAAGAAGTCAGCATGGTTAGAGTGAAACCCGAGAATAGATGAATGTATTCCGAGTGTAGTAAGATCGAACCTAATGAGATGATTTTTTTTGCGCCAGCTCTGCTGTCTAAAAAGTTAATTTTCATAATCCTGATAGCGATACAAAAATGTGATTGAAACTTTTGTCGTTTCATTAAAATCCACCGATTTTTAATTTTGGTGCAGAAAAAAAGAAAAAGAAATTAAAAAAAAAACAAAAAAACTTCAAAGCCTAATCTGGAAATATCAAATTTCCGATGCGAAAATTCAACATAAATTGATATTCTTTACTGAATATAATTTCGTTCCTCATTCTCTATACACAGTCAGAGAAGACGTCAACTTAACAGACACACGCACGCATACACACAAAATCATACACATATTACTAAGGAAAAGAACTCGAAAACTTTTTAATATTACTTCGTTCTAATAATATGCATATATAATGATTTACGACGTGAACTTTAGATGTAACATGAGGATGTAACTGTGAATCAGTCAATGGTGACCGAAATTATTATTCAGTCTTATAATAAATTAGCACAAAAGACTTGATAACTATTACACACTACGTCGAGATGTTTTTTTTTCTCTCTCTCTCTCTCAATCTTTCTTTCTGTCTGTCTGTCTGTCTGTCTGTCTCTCTCTCTCTCTCTCTCTCTCTCTCTCTCTCTCTATCTATCTATCAATCTTTATATATATATATTATTTCTCACAGTCCATATACATATATATATTATTTTTTTAAATATATATATATATATATATATATATATATATATATATATATGTATTATTTATATGTATTATTTATTATATGTATTATTTATAATTTATATAAATGTTTTATATAATGTATTATTTATATATATATATATATATATATATATATATGTATTATTTCATAATGGCAGTTATGTTTCGACATCATAAATGTTTCTTCTCGACAATACTTTAACATCGCCCGAACTGACAGATTTACGGCGTCGAAACGTAATTGCCATTATGTGGCGATTTTAACATGTTTTATTAACCTAAAATAAATAATGTTTAGCTTTCCTCTGTATTTAGCCCTCTTTTAAAATTAAATGTTATGTACAGTGAAATTATACTCCATGTTTTCTCTTGGTACCTGGACATATATATATATATATATATATATATATATATATATATATATATATATATATATATATATATATATATATATATATATATATATATATATATATATATATATATATATGCTATATTTATGGATAAATTTTGGGATAAATATCAATAGATATAGAGCGTGTATAAATATAAAAGTGAAAATTGAAGTTAACACTGAGAGACGAGAGGCTGCTTATACTAGATGTAATCGTCAGGCAACCGTAAGCATCCTCTCACCTATAAGTGTTCACTTCAATGTTTACTTATATATATATATATATATATATATATATATATATATATATATATATATATATATATCCGGTAAAAAAGACTATATATATATATATATATATATATATATATATAAACATGTTGTTCATGATGACGGTCGTCTTTGAGTATAGAATCCAGAGGTTAGCAGTGAATATTTTGAAGACAGTTCGGAATCGTAGTTCAGGTTAGCAGTGGATATCCCGCTAAAGTAGCAGAGCGTAGTTTGGTAGTTCTTCCTTCTGTTCCTCTTCGCTTGACATTCGGATAGAGTAAACAAAATGGCCGCCTTTATACACGACGGATTGAATATTCTACGTCTTCTGATTGGTTGACCTTCTATTGGTGGATTATAACGCGACTCAAGTCATTTGGGTTAACTCACTAGTATATATATACACAAAAAACTGCAACAAAACAGAACACTTTAAGGTTCCATGTAATAAATTATTTCACCTGAGCCCTTTTAAAGGACTGAGGGTCATCAGACTTTATTTCCAAAGGTGGAAACGAAAAATGAAAAGAAATTTGCACATTTTTGACGGGCCGTATTAAGCATATGTAAATTAAAGAAAGTGAGGAAGTGAAGTGGGGAGAGAGAAGACATGAGTGAGTTAGATGTAATTTAATATTTCTATTCTTTCATACTTAAAATTACTTAAGGAGGTCCAGACATTGACACATTTAAACGGTTAACTTAACGGAAGTTATATATTGATATCGAAAGGGGTAGAGGAGAAAAAACACATAAAAAGAAAAAAGAGAAGGAAGTCATGAGAGAAGGTGTCACTAATATTTTTTGGAAAAAACAGGCTCGAAAAAGAAGCTGTTATTTTATTTTACTTTGAAAGTGTTATTTTGGGGGTTCATGATGATTATAATGTTTGATATAAATTTGAACGTCTAAACTGTCTACAAAAATTTAATTTGATGTTTGTTTGTGATTTAAACATTACACGTTATATGGACTTTATCTGGGTGCAATTAGCTTTTTTTAAAAGAATGTTTAAATAAAGGCGGTTACGAGATTAAAATTATTTAACAAATTTCTAAATATATTTCCAGACGTCATTTATCTGTTTAAAAAAAAAGTCTTCAAACCTTTAAAATAAACGATTTGTGTTGGCCAGTCTAAATAAGTAGTCGGCGTCTCATGAGAAGCAATTCGTGCTTGCTCGAGGAAGCGCACCGGACGATAAATATGGCCTTCCATCCACGTTAGCAAGAGTATGTCGCGACTTTCTTTCTTGAAAGCAGGTCACTTTTGATGTGTTCAGTTTTGATTCTCAAGGCAGTCTCTAATCAGACATATTTTTTTTCTCCTGATATGTTGTGCAGTCGGATATTCAAGTTGTGTTGTTCTACATTTTCTATGAAGTAGACGATTAGAAAAAATATTCATACAAAGTACATTAAAAGAATAAAATTTTATTTTTAAATAGAAGTTTACTTCTAGTAATCTTTTTTATTTAAATTTTTTTTTTTTATTATTGATTATTAAGTTGACATCTCTATCCGTTTGAATTTTGTTCATGAATTTAACTCGTGACTATTTCTAGATAGGTAATCTCTTTTACTTAACGTTTAGTTAATATGGGGTAATATTTGAAGGTAATATTAAAGATCTTGCTCTGTCATATACTGTATACACACCCATGCAAATCTCACATATACATACGTTCCTTTACATGTGCAATCACTCATACAGGTACCTATGTATCGATATACACCATGTATCGATATCCCCTCCTCACTTCCTCACTTCGTTAATTTACATATGCTTAATACGGCCGTGTCAAAAATGTGTAAATTTCTTTTCGTTTTTTGTTTTAACCTTTGGAACTAAAGTCTGATGATCCACAGTCCTTTAAAAGGGCTGTGGTGAAATAATTTATTACATGCAACCTTGAAGTGGTCTGTTTTTATTTAAATTATTTGCTCTGGATTTACATTGAGCTCTCTGGATTTTATCCTCCTTGGGTCTTCCCATATGGATTACCTAGTTTTCCATGAATATATATATATATATATATATATATATATATATATATATATATATATATATATATAAAAAACATTATGTCTGCTTATCCGTGAATATGTCCGTGAATGTGCTAAAATTAAGCAATGTTTAAATCACACATGCCTAAAAAGTTAATTTTCTGCCTAAATATACACACACGCTCTCTCTCTCTCACACACACACACACATATATATATATATATATATATATATATATATATATATATATATATATATATATATATATACAGTCAATAAAGTTCGTGTGAACTTTAAAATTATAAAGTTTTTAACCTGCACACGAATTTTATGGACCACCTAGTATGTTTATATATATATATATATATATATATATATATATATATATATATGACAATCTGGAAAGGTTTTTTTGTGACGTGTTTCATCATAGGGTGTTAGTGGACTGGGTTTTGATAACGTTACCACGTCTACACATGCGCATGAAACGAGTGACGCTGGTAATTTCAAAATTTGTTTTCAACTTTTTAACCTACCTACGTTTATACTCACAAAAAATACTTTCCAGTTTGTCATATTTTTTCTAAATAATGCTTGTTAATATATAAAATGATACACAATTATATATTATTATATCACATGTATATATATATATATATATATATATATATATATATATATATATATATATATATATATAAATATATTAAAATGGACAAGGTCCGAGAATTTATTTATTAAAGACATGTCTTTAATCAATAAATTGTCGGACCTTGTCCATTTTTTTTAATATATGACGTCATTTGTTTACATTTGATACGCCAGAGCAGTTATGAATGTACGAGATTCATGGAAGATTGAAGTTTATAAGCAGTAAATTTGACCTTGTCTTCCGAATGTTTCTTTGTGGCCGAGACGGTTAAGGCACGTCAGCGTAAATGACGGTTCCGTCTAAGATGCAGGTTCGAATCCTGTCAAAGAACGAATATTTTCTATGAAAATTTCTCGGACATTCAGGCCGGTAAATGTTATTTAATACTGTTTATCATAAACAGAGCATTTGCTTAAATACTTGTATCTATAAATAACAACGTTGAACATAAAAAATGTCTTTAATATATATATATAGGCAGCAAAACATCATCCAAAGAAATTGTATTAAATTCCACCGACAAGGTTTGTTCATCCGACTTTTTATTTATATTTCCAATTTAAAATGTGGTTTTGTATATTGGGATTGAAATTATGAATAAATCATCCAAAAATAATTTTATTCTCTGTGAATTTTCTAGGACCTTCGAATATTTGTTTTAATCATTTCACCCCAAACAAGGGAATAAAGCCACTAAAATGCAAGGGATAACAGAAAATGAGAATAAGTTTAATGAGGACAATAAAATGACTGATGCATATATTCATTGACGAAACATTTAAATTCTTTGAAGATTTTAGAAGGGAAGCCAGAAAAGAAATCGAAGGAGAGTCGAAAAGGTGATCCAAAGGAGAGATTGTAACAACAAAACGATTAGACCTTATTTCCAATGTAACATTACGCTTAGATTCATGTGACTGAGGTACCAACGAAGAGTGCGCATTAGAACGACGGGCATGGCTATGTGTTTATACAAGAGAGAAGCTACTACTGTAATTAAAAGAGAACGTATTTACTAAGCCGAAATATATAGAAAGTGGCTTGATTGCTAAATCAAAATTTTCGCCCAGGTTCTTGCAAAATTTCAATTTTCTTGGCAGGTCGTCTGTTATCGCAATATGGGATGCTTAATAATGAAGATTTTAAAAAACAAAATGATAGGGAAGCTCTATGGAAACGGCCAAACGTCTCTAAAAATGAAGTTAAAAATAAAAAAAAAAACATCTGCATTCCAACATCTTTAGTTGTTCCTGTTGGTACATAATTATAACCTACTCTCACGTTTTTACGGCTCCCCCATCCCTTCGTAAACATAAATTAATCCGCGGGAAGGCCTCGTGGAAATTTAATTCTTTCGTCATTGTTATGTCTTCGCCACACACACACACACACACACACACACACACACACACACACACATATATATATATATATATATATATATATATATATATATATATAAGAACATTGAAGTCGACACTCACACTCAGAGGCGACAGTCTGTTTCATGCTAGACGCAAACATCAATGTTCACTTTAATATTTATATTTACATACGCTCTATCTCTGATATTGAGCACTTTATCCCATAAATATAGCAAACTTTAAAACTATACTTCTTCATATATATATATATATATATATATATATATATATATTTATTAATGAATACATAGACATATATACATACACACACACACACATATATATATATATATATATATATATATATATATATATATATATATGTGTGTGTGTGTGTGTGTGTGTATATATGTCTATATATTCATTAGCAAACAATGGCTTAATATTTGATTAATAAAATATAATACAATACTTATAAAATGAATTAAACATATAACACAATACGTCCTGCTATTGACTTCGATAAATGAAAACCATTCTATTTTGACAGCCAGGAAAGACTGCAGGAAAAGTCTATTTGAGTTAGAATTTTTTTTCCTCGTAAAAAGAAAAAATGCATACGAAGAAATGACAATGAAAGAAAGAGGAACACAATGAGGTGCCTTAACACCCGCATCAGAGAAATGGGAGCAAGAAAAGAAATAATTAAAAAAGTGAAATAAGAAGAAACGGTAGAGAGAAGAATGTAGAAAGAATGGCTCGGAATTGAGAAGAAATATTTAAATGTGTCTATATCCTTACGGCGGGGTATTATGATTATTTACATTATTTACATTATACGGGCTGTTATCCTCAAGGACACATGGATAACGACGTTGGTTAGATTCAGTGAGTAGACCAAAAAAATTGTGACTTCAATACCAGTCTAGGGTGAACCAAAAAGAATGGAGAACTGAGTTAAAGGGAAATAAATGAAACATCCGGAAGAGGCATGGCCCGTGGAACTAGAACAATCTACCCCGGTGAACAAAATAAATTGTTCAGTTCGAAATTCGAATCACCTGAAAAAAGCCCGGAGCGTTCAATGGCCGAAACTTTGTGAATATGACAATGAATATGAAGATAACAGTCCGAATAATTTAAATAATTGGTTTGAAACGGTAAAACGGACATATCATCGTCTTTAATAATTTTTCTTGCTCTATACAGTGTGTCTCAAAATAATGTATACACTATTTAAATATTAATAGTTAATAATACATTACCGTGACGTGAGAACTTATATGGATGAAAATATGCCAAACAGATGGATTGGAAGAAGAGGGACAGTTAAATACCCCACTAGATCACCAGATTTGGCACCTTTGGATTTCTTTTTTTGTGGGCGTTTCTAAAAGACAAAGTGTACAGCAGGAAACCTGAAACAATTGCTAAAATGAGAGTAGCAATTGAAAAAGAATGTGTTCAAATACCAGAGGAAATGATACTGGACGTTTGTAGGTCTATTTCTTCAAGATATGAAAAGTGTATTGAACAGAAGGGCAACAAGTTTGGGCACTTGATATGAACTCATCATTATGTGAACATTCTTCCATTGCCCCAAGTATCTTTTAGCTTATTAAAGTTAATTTTCTATGGCTTTTGTATATTTTACTCTCAATTTCTTTAAATGTGTATTCTTTCTCTTGTATTAATCTTATTTACATGTCAAAATTCATAGATTAAATAAGTTATAACGATTCAAAGAGTGTATACATTATTTTGGGACGCCCTGTATAAATCTAGTGCTTATTCTTCGATGTCATATGAAATATACCGTGAAATCATCATCTGTCCTACTAGTTTGAAAAAATTGGCTATTCTCGAACCGAAATGGTAAAAATGAACTAATAAAATGCTGTAAAAAATCATTATATGATTTTATTTTTGCTTAGGTATGCGAGTTATTAACACAAAATAAAAATACAGATTCTTTTCTCTCTATATGCATTCGATCTGAAAATTACTTCCGTCACAGAACACATTAATTCAAGTTATTATATATTTCTGCTTTTAACATTTAATTAGAGTCGATATTAAAATTATGAAAAGCAAATTACAAAAAGAAACGGTAATTATTTTTGCTATAGTCATAATCAGTCACCACATTTTTTTTTGTCTGTTTCCGAGTAGAATTTCAATAGCATTTTTCAATA